ATTCAAGCCTTCGATGAGCCAACCTGCGATCAATCAGTCATCAAACTGGAATGCCCGTGATCCGATGTACCTGGAACCTACGACGAGATTTTAGGCAGCTCCGATGAACTGGTAACTGGTTTCAAGCTGTTAAAGACGAGCTAAACTCCATGAACGAAAACGACGTCTGGTGTCTGGTGGAAAGCCCAAGCAATGCTGTTCTGATCAAGACAAAGTGGGCGTTTCGCATCAAGGAAAGATGGCAAACCTTCCCATTATAAAGCGCGTCTAGTAGCCAAGGGCTTTCAACAGAGGCATGAATTGGACTACACTGAAACCTATCAAAAATTGCAAAGATTCGGACTGTCCTGGCTGAGGCGGTTCACAGTACGCACATCAACATGGAGTCTTGTAGTGAAGACTGGTTTTCTCTATGCGGATCATCAAGAGAACGTGTACCTGGCTGTTCCTAACGGGATTGATGCGCCGTCCAACCTGGTATGCAAATTGAAGAAATCCTTATATGACTTGAAGCAAAGCCCACGCTGTTGAAACAACAAGTTGAACAAAGAACTCTCGAAGTAAGCATTTTCACGTGCCAAACACGATTACTGCTTATATGTCAAGACCACTAGGAAAGGTAATGTGTTCGTTATTATATAAGTTAAGAACGCAGTGTTGCTTAAACCATTCGAATTTCATACACAAGGATCAATGAAATCAAAACCTATAATCAACATCAACTAGCAGCAGCATTAGTCTTCTTCGAGGAGAAGTCACAATCATGGTCAGCAAATTTATCGAAATACACTGAGCAGCATAGAACCAAACCAAACAAACTGCAACGCGCTTCATCAGCAACATGCGACCGGACGGCAATTCAATTTCACCACATAGTAATGGCATGTTTCTCCAGTGAGGCCTCTGTAACTTCTGGCAAATAAAATTAAATTCATTATTGTTTTGGAATTGGAGGTGGTAACATCTAGTTAGTCCCTTTTTAAAAACGTATCACAAAACCATGAGGTTTTAACTTATATATTGGAGATCTCCTAGTTTCTGGCGACCATTTGCATTCAGTTTTGGAAATCAAAAAAACACTTTACGAGATGTTCCAAATGTCAGATTGCGGGGAAATCAACTACTTCCTGGGAGTCAAGATTCGATACGACAGGATGACAGGAACACTATCATTGTCCCATGAAACTGGAATCAACCGTGTACTGATCAAGTTTTAAATGATTAACTGCCATTTAATCAAAACGCCGATGGAGAAGGGTTGTCTGCTGCATGTTCAAGATATAGGCCAAACCGCGAGTTACTGGAAAGTATCATGTACACAATGCTATGTGTTCGTCCGGATATCAGCTACTGGATGGGATATCTAGATAGATATCAGCAGAATCCATGAGATTCCCAGGCATAAAAGGACATGAAGCTCCTATACACCAAGTAGGATAGTTCAACTGCTCTGGTGGGATCAGAGTTGCGACCTATCACAATCACGATCGCCAAACAGCTGATGGCAGTAACGCTTTGTACATTCCTATCAATGTGCTCGTCGAAGCTCTCTCCATGACCATCCATCAAGTTGACGGAAGAAGTAAAAAGCAACTGGTGAATGTCAGACTGTTGTGATCCATCACCGATCTGGTCATTTCCGAGAATCACGACACTCATCTGTGCTCGTTTTGAAGCAGTTGCTGCTTTGCTTGCTTATTTGAGTGTGTTGGTGAGTGAGCTCAACAGCTTCCGTTTCATGTTGCCTGCTTTGTTTGTAACTTACACAGTTGCGCCTGCCAAGACGAACTTGGAATGCGTAGGCATTGTTTTCATTTTCTTCTGTCGTTTTGCTTTTTCTCATGATCGTACTGCAGAAATCTTCACTGTTTTCGTTGTGCTTTTCATCATCAGCAACGAGTGTAACGTTTTGCTTGTGAGCAGCAACAATTTCTAGTGACAAAAGATCCGTCAGCGAAAGTCGGTTGATGCGAAGACGAGTGTCACGTGAGTGTCATGATATTTTGCATCACTGGGTGGGATTTTTCGAGGCGGCAGATGCTGTAGACAAGAAATCTGTACCCGTATTCGTGTTTCAAATTTTTGGCAGTGCAGTTTCGTGGGCCAGCAGGAAACAACAGAATCTGGTGCGCTAAGTATGGCTGTGTCTGAATGTATATGGCTGAAAGGAATTCTCATGCTTATGGCATCGGATCAGTCCTTCACGATCTTCGAGAATAACCACGGGTGCATTTCTATGGCGAAGAACGCAGAATGTAAAAGAGCAAAACACATCGATGTCAAGCATCACTTCTTGCAGGGAACACTGAAGATTGGGCCAATCCCAAGCAACAAGCAATTAGCGAATATATTCACCAAAGTGCTGGATACTACAAGATTCCAAGAACTTCGGAAGCTCCTAGGATTAGCCGATTAAGAGGGGGTATTGATGCAATCAAAATCGAAGCTACCGAAGACTTTATTAATTGTTAGCAAGTCCTTAGCAACGCTATTGGTTTCAAGTAATAAGTCTCATTCCAATTGTAACACTACACAATCTGAAGAAAAAATGTCGAGGAAAGCATTTTTTTTTTGCAACGTCACATGTAAAAGTTTAAGTCCGTTTTTTAAAGTTGTGCCTAAATTAAGACAAAATTGAATATATCAGCATTACAACTCATCTACTTCTGGTTTACAATTTGGGCTAACTAGCAGCACGAGATGATTTTCTAGTGTTAGTCAAATTGGAAAATCTTAGTACGAAACTTAACCAGACGTTAACATTATAGAATTAATTTAAATTCAGATCTCAAACTTCACCAAGGTGGATGTTTCAAGAGCTGTAAGAAACCGATTACCAAAATCTTATTATAATTCTCATGGTAGGTCTTCTCCCACCAGGTTGATCTAACCCTAAAGAATCGCAATGTCTCCGAACCGGTTGCCCCCTTCAAGTTGGGAGCCCTGGCTTTAGCCCACCATCGTCCTACCGTTGATGCGACACTGGTTTGAAATATAATAGATCAATTAATTCACAAGACCTTGAACGTGATCCTCCAATCCAGTCCCTATAATTCTCTTGACTCATCCTAAGAGCTATATATATCATAGCCATAATACTCACACTTGAAGTTTCTCAGTCTTGTGTTCAGAGTTCAGTGAACTCATCAAAGTTCACAACCTTGGTGAAACTTATCGTAAAAGATCAACACACCGTAAACACCGCTTTGGGCAGTCATAATTCATAGTCCATAGGTGTTAACTTTGAACGGCGCCGGTGGTGTAGTGGTAAGCGTGATTGCCTCTCACCCCAGCAGGCCTGGGCTCAATACCAGTAGGCGCCGCCGGGATGTTCTGAGGCATAACATCTCTGATCACGCCTTCCTTCGGATGGGAAGTAAAGCCGTTGGTCCCCGGTTCATGAGTTGATGGGTCGATAGGGTAGGGTCCAGGTGTGGGAGCTGCCTTCCTGGCACGTCGGTAGCATTGGTGCTCAGCACGGAAAACAAGATCGACGAAAAAACAAACCAAAGGAAAAAAAAAAAAAGTTGTTAACTTTGGGTAATTCATAATTCTGTCGTCGAAAGGGCCTCCCATATAGCAATCTTAGTTTTATCAAAGTCTTGTATACCATCTTTTGGACTTGAAGAATGCTTTAAAAGCTCGATAAAGCTTGCAATGTTACTTGGGCTGTGTTTGTGTTTGACTTTGACCACTTCTTAAAGCTACTTGGATATTAGTCAGATCCTTTCTCACATTTCATATCCTGAAAAGCCTCATTTAACGCACCTGTTTGAACCATCTTCATTCCCCGGGGCTCGATTCATCTCCTTTTAGTCCTCAGACATCCACATCGAGATCAGAACGCGTGAGTTGAAAGTGCGAGTGTGTGTGTGTGTGTATTCACCAAAGACTGGTCATATATTTTCGGCTGCTGTTTATATTTGTAATATCGGTGTAATTTTTCGCGCTGGTTTCCATCGAAACGACCCACATAAAATAAGCCTCCACCTCCATTGACCATCGGGGATTATAATGAACGTGTGGAGAGTAGCAGCAAGGCCTCATAAGCCCTGTGTCAGCTTTAAAGTCAACTCCCGTAATAAATTGCGCTGGGGCCCGTCCGTCGTCGGGCGTTTGGGTGCGTCGTATGTTTGCACAAGATTGTGGGAGGGGGATGAACGAATTATGAGCGTTGCTTTTCCGAGGCAGCAGCAGCAGCAGCCAGCAAGAATATTGCAACGTGCGAAATAAAATGCTTAAAATTACACAACATCGCACCGGTGGTGGGTGGATCGTAAACGGGGTGGGAAGGGGGTGCAGCAGAGTGCGTTAAACAGGGGGGAATGGTTTATCCTTGTTTTGTTATGGACACCGGGTGATAAAATTTAATTAATATGTATTTGCGAGCGTAAATCTTGTGGCGTGGCAAAAGGGATCGGGAAAGGGTTTTTTGGTCCCGAGATTGGGATTTCCGGTGCCCCGTGGTCAGATGATAAGTTGGAATTATGTCTGTTCATGTCCAACTTGGGTTGACTCATAAAGATGTCTGCCAAAATAAATTCATAACTTGAAGATCTCGGATAACATCTCAGCTTGAAGAATGTCATGGGAATTGTCACGAAAAACGTTACATAATGACAGTCATAACTCCAAAATTTCATCCTTCTCGGCTGTCGGTGTGGGAGTTCTCAGGGGAGAGTATCCCGTCAACCCGGTTTTGATGGTGGGTGTCAGATATGACGAGCAGTTTAATTTTTTATATTTATGACGCTCGCTGAGTCATATTTTTTATGCCCCGCCAGGATTTGGTGCCAACTTTATGCACTTTTAAATGACGTGCTTAGAAATATGACAGTATGACGGTTCATAAACACAGAAACAAAAAGTAAAAACGTTTGACGATTTGCGCCTCCCAACAGGTGGTGGGCTGCCATCAGTTTAACGGTGGAGGTTGTATATTGTTTACGATTTTTTTTATCAAAAGGAAATTGAAAATTTGTTTATTATTTTTGCCTTACCTCGTTTTCACCTCTTTCGACTGCCATTCGGAATGTTTGTCGAAGCTGATGAGAATGGCCGCAATTTCCTGAAAATAAATTAACGGAAAAAGAAATGATTGCATATGGGTTTAAGATTAATTTAAGTGCAATGCATTATAGGAGGTAGTGGTCAAGAGAGTCGAAATGTCTTTAAAGTTTTTTTTCATAAAATATTTGAATTGATAAATCTTTATCCATTGGTCCATTCTCAACCAACAATCGAAAAGCGCCTATCAGATTTAATATTTGTACTGCTCTTGTCGCGCAAATCGAAGCTCTTCTACGCAAAACCAGCAATACTACCGGGAACGGCTGAATTCCTCCTATTCTATGGGGTTGTTGGTTTGCATAGGCGAGCTTCGGTTCGTACTATAAGGGAGTTACAAGTATTGTTTACAAAAACTGATAGGCCTTTTTCAATTGTCGAAAATTGGTAAATGGCCAGTATTTAATTGAGCAATTTTCAATTTTCAATTTTGAATAGTTTTATTTTAAATAAGTCAATTATTAACAGGACAATTTTGAAATGGTCAATTTTGAATTGGCTAATTTTGAATTGGTTAATTTAAAATTCATAAATTTTGAATTGATCAATATTTAACTATTGATCAATATTTAACCATCCAATTTTGAATTGGTCAATATTTAACCAGCCAATTTTGAATTGGTCAACATTGAATTGGCCAATTTTGAGTTGGTCAATTATAAATTGGTCAATTATGAATTGGTCAATTTTCATTGATCAATTTTGAATTGGTCAATTTTTAATTAGTCAATTTTTAATTAGTCAACATTGAATTGGTTAATTTTTAAATTAATCAATTTGGAATTGGTCAATTAAGAATTGGTCGAGTTTAAATTGGTAAATTTTGAATTGTTCATTTTTGAATTGGTAAATTTTGAATTGGTCAATATAAAATTGGCCAATTTTGAAATGATTAATTTTGAACTGGTCAACTTTGAATTGGCCAATTTTGAAATGATTAATTTTGAATTGGTCAACTTTGAATTGGCCAATTTTTGGTTCATTTTACATGAGTCTATTTTAAATTGGTTGATTTTGAATTGTTCAATTTCAAATGGGTCAATATTGAATTGGTTAATTTTGAATTGGTAAATTTTAAATTGGTCAATTTTAATTGTTAATTTTTGAATTGATCAACTTTGAATTGGTCAATTTTGAATTGTTCTTTTTGGAATTGGGCAATTTAGAATTCGTAAATATTGAAATGGACAATATTGAATTGTTTAATTTGGAATTGGTCAATTTTGAATTGGCAAATTTTGAATTGGTTAATTTTAAATGAGTATATTTTGAATTCGTCGATTTTGAATTGTTCAACTTTGAATTGGCCAATTTTGAATTAGTCAAATTTAAATCGGCCAATTTTTGAATCAGTCGATTTCGAATGGGTCGATTTTAAATTGGTTAATTTTGAGTTGGTCAATTTTGAATTGGTTAATTTTGAATTAGTCAATTTTGAATTGGTTAATGCTGAATTACTCAATTTCAAATATGTCGATTTTGAATTGGTTAATTTCCAATTGGTTAATTTTGAACTGGTTAATTTTGAATTGGTTAATTTTGAATTGGTTAATTTTGAATTGGTCAGCTTTGAAATGATTAATTTTGTATTGGCTGACTCGTAATAATAGCGCACATGCTTTTGTAAATAAACACGGCTATCGCCAATTTCTTGCGAATAAAAGCTCAATCTCGGAAACTAGCTACACAATCATGTAGAAGAATAAAGCCTGTAACATTTGGAATAGTTTGTTTGCGAAATTAATCTTTTATCCGTTCGGAATTTTGAAATGGTCAATTACCCATTGCCTAGTGGTTTAAACGTCTGTTTTCACACTGTTAATTAATAACACCATGGAAATGTGAATTTAGAGTGATGATGTCTTAAGCAAAGCTGATGGACATAAAGGGTGATACGGTCAAAATTTGGTCAATATCAACTTGACGTATTTCTTTCAATTTTGCATTTAAAAAACCTGAACACCCCTCATTTTGAAGGTGTGTGTGTGTAGAATGTTGCTCCTATTTTGATTTTGGAATTCACTCTTCAGTTGTCAAAATGCCGTCCAAGCAAGAAGAGCAGCGTATCAAAATTTTGCTCGCGCATCGCGAAAATCCGAGCTACTCGCACGCAAAGTTGGCAAAATCGCTAAAAGTTGCCAAATCAACCGTTACAAATGTAATTAAAGTGTTTTGGGAACGTTTGTCGACAGCCAGGAAGTCTGGATCGGGGGGAAATCGAAAACCGGAAGCCGCTGAGACGACAAAGAGAGTTGCCGGTAGTTTCAAGCGAAACCCTAACCTCTCTCTCCGAGATGCCGCAAATAAGCTGGGTGTATTGTCTACAACCGTGCATCGAGCCAAAAAACGAGCCGGACTATCGACTTACAAGAAGGTAGTGACTCCAAATCGCGATGATAATTAAAATACGACGGCCAAAGCGCGATCCCAGAGGCTGTACACGACGATGCTGACGAAGTTTGACTGCGTGGTAATGGACGACGAAACCTACGTCAAAGCCGACTACAAGGAGCTTCCGGGACAGGAGTTTTATACGGCAAAAGGAAGGGGAAAGGTAGCAGATGTTTTCAAGCACATGAAACTGTCAAAGTTCGCAAAGAAATATCTGGTTTGGCAAGCCATCTGTACCTGTGGCTTGAAAAGCAGCATTTTCATAGCTTCCGGGACTGTCAACCAAGAAATTTACGTGAAAGAGTGTTTGAATAAACGTCTGCTGCCTTTCCTGAAGAAACACGGTTGTTCCGTACTGTTTTGGCCGGATTTGGCATCTTGCCATTACGGTAAAAAGGCCATGGAGTGGTACGTCGCCAACAACGTGCAGGTGGTTCCCAAGGACAAGAACCCTCCCAACACGCCAGAGCTCCGCCCAATTGAGAAATACTGGGCTATTGTCAAGCGGAACCTAAAGAAGACCAAAAAAACTGCTAAGGGCGAGCAGCAGTTCAAGGCAAACTGGCTTTCTGCGGCGAAGAAGGTGGACAAGGTGGCTGTACAAAATCTGATGGCAGGGGTCAAGCGTAAGGCCCGGCAATTCGGATTTGGAAAAGCGGAAGCCTAACTGAATATTTTTCCTGAATTTTATACTAATTGAACTTGAAAAAGAAATTTAATTTGATTTTTTAAATAAACGATTTCACCGATTTACACGCGTTTTCCCTTGACCAAATTTTGACCGTATCACCCTTTAGCCTTCTTCATCTTTTGAAAATTTGAGTTTTGTGATTAATCCTCCTCAAAGTGGGACGCAAAACTTGGTTTTTCACAAAAGCAAGATATAAAATTGATATCTTCGGCAAAAAATAGTTGGAACAACTTTGTCGATGACTTCAAAATCACCATTTTAATTCCATTCCAATTCGATTCCTATTCTATATAAATTCACATAAATTCCATTCCAATTCCATTCAAATTCACATAAATTCCATTCCAATTCCATTCCAATTCCATTCCAATTCCATTCCAATTCCATTCCAATTCCATTCCAATTCCATTCCAATTCCATTCCAATTCCATTCCAATTCCATTCCAATTCCATTCCAATTCCATTCCAATTCCATTCCAATTCCATTCCAATTCCATTCCAATTCCATTCCAATTCCATTCCAATTCCATTCCAATTCCATTCCAATTCCATTCCAATTCCATTCCAATTCCATTCCAATTCCATTCCAATTCCATTCCAATTCCATTCCAATTCCATTCCAATTCCATTCCAATTCCATTCCAATTCCATTCCAATTCCATTCCAATTCCATTCCAATTCCATTCCAATTCCATTTCAATTCTATTGCAATTCCATTCCAATTCCATTCCAATTCCATTCCAATTCCATTCCAATTCCATTCCAATTCCATTCCAATTCCATTCCAATTCCATTCCAATTCCATTCCTATCTTATTTGAATTCAATTTCAAATTATTTTTAAAAAATTTCAGTTTATTTCAATTTAAATTCCATTGCAATTCTATTTCAATCCTATTTTATTTTCATTTCAATTCCATTTCAATTCTTTTTCAATTCCATATAAATTTCCTTTCAATTCCATTTTATTCTATTTTACTTCCATTTGAATTCCATTTGAATACCATTTGAATTTAATTTGAATTCCATTTGAAATCCATTTGAAATCCATTTCAATTCCATTTCAATTCCATCAAATCCATTAATATTTCATTTTAAATGCATTAAAATTTCATTTCAATTCCATTTACATTTCCATTCCAATTTATGTTCCGATTCCAACAGTTGTTCCAATCCCAATTGCAATTCCATTTTATTTTAAATTTCAATTCCGATTCCATTCCATTGGTTAATTTTTAATTGGTCAATTTTGAATTACGCCAAATCTTTATCAATTCCATTCCAATTATTTTCCATTCTATCTTATCTTCATTTTCATTCTCTTCCAATTAAATTCCATTTCAATTCTATTTCAATCCCATTTCAATTCCATTTCAATTCTATTTCAATTACATTTCAATTACATTTCAATTCCATTTCAGTTCCATTTTAAATCCATTAAAATTTCTTTTCGATTCCATTTTCATTCCATTTTCATTCCAATTCCATTCCAATTCCATTCCAATTCCATTCCAATTCCATTCCAATTCCATTCCAATTCCATTCCAATTCCATTCCAATTCCATTCCAATTCTATTCCAATTCCATTCCAATTCCATTCCAATTCCATTCCAATTCCATTCCAATTCCATTCCAATTCCATTCCAATTCCATTCCTATAAATGTACCGATTCAAATCCTTATTCCAATCCCAGTTTCAATTCAATATAATTTTAAATTTAAATTCCTATTCCATTGCGTATCGGTTAACTTCCCAACAAACAATTTTAACTGCAGATTAGCTTATACTGCCAAAATTTGCCTTATGCAGCTAATTTTTTCCTGTATAAGCTGAGTTGCAGCAATTTTCAATTGATCCAATTCTATTTCAATTCCTATCAATTTATTTTTCAAATTCCCTACAACCTTCATTTCCATTCC